GGATCTTTATGCGATATAGACATATGCGATATTGGTGAGCGTAGTAGTTTTGTTCACCCCATTGTTTGTTTTGTCCTCTTGTTTCCTCTTTCTATCTTTAGGTTGAGCATGGTTGGCGGCTGCAGCGAGGGACGAGTGAGTAGTGGTCATGGATATATTGTCTCTTTTGTTTCTTTTGCTTCCGCTATTATCCATGTTGGATTGTTGGCTTTTCGTTGAACTACTATGCTTCCGTTTTCATTTGAAACTTGTTGGTTTGATTATTATGATTGTTAGTATGCATGTGTAGCCTTGTGGTTGTGCTTAATTGTTTATTTTTTTTTGGTAGTTAAGTAGCGCCCGTTAAAGTTTTAAAGTTTTTAATTTGATATTTTGCAAAAAATTTACTCTAATTTTTATAAATAAATTCGGTAAACTCTTTAAATTAAAATGGGGCGTTACATAGAGTCTGCGAATTTTAAGCTGTAAGTATTCAACTCTAAACATCTAGATCCGTTGCGCATAAGTTTATTGTTGCTGTTGAATTGGTGATTTGTGCATAACAAGATCTTCACCGATCCCAACAGCTCGAACCTTCTGCAATCCGGGCACAAGCCTACGTTTTGAGGTTGTCTTCGGCTGACTTCCTGTCCTCGACTTGTGGGTCCCTCGTGGCTCAACTCGGATATCAACATCACTCTTGAATCTGACATAAATAAATAAAAGAACCAATGTATATATAATATACATTAGGTCTTTCATTAGTTATTTAGTGTTTCTTTTATTATTAGAGACTCATTTTTCATATATTTGTCTTGGGATTGTAATATGTTATTTAGATTTTAAAATGTTACAAGATTATTATGTTATTTTGGAAAAAAAAATGCATGGGCATAAATATTTGCTCTACATTTTATTTTGTTCCTACAATCAAATCAAATATTTAGTAAATTAATTAATTTATATTACTAAATTTAATCGACCAAAAATATTTGCTACTGCGTGCATCGCATGTGCACTTTACTAATATATTAAAAAAAGACAATTCTCAAGGACGAATGGTTTAGATGGTATAGTAAAGGTTGCCACGATGGTCGCAATTATAGTATCCTTTTTGATCGGATTCTCAATAACACGTTATATTTATCTCCAACCAAACCCAACTCAATCCTATTCAATCAATTAATTAAAAATTATTTCTCTCTCATCCACCTACACAAGCCAACCTTTACAATTACATATCTTTATTCCCCAACTCAACTCAGTCCAACCCCCTGGACTCTTCTCGAACCAGGACTTGATTTTTTTTTTTTTTTTTTTTTTTTTTTTTT